CACGTCAGCAACAACGCGTGGCAGCTGCCACGTCAGCATGCCTTGAAGACAGTAGCGAGCCAGCCACCACGCCGAGCCAGCAGCGCGTCGCCGCATCTCTCAAATGCCAGCACAAAGCCAGCGTCCACCAGCGTCGCAGCGTCGAGCCAGCGTCACGTCGTCAACGCGTGAAGTCAGCATTGACGCAAGACTGAATAGTTGTCAAAGCCAGGAAGTCAGCGCTTATGTAGCGTTGACGCGGGGTCTGGACCCCGAATGTTGCATCCCTCAGCCGTCCAGATCTCGATGCAAACGAGGGCCCATATTGGTCTGAAACCGAATTCTCTCTGGCCTGGATGCTGTCTGGGTACCTGCGCACAACAAGTGAGTGTATCCAACCAAGGGCCTGGGCGCGGTACCTTTGACTCTAAGTTGACTTTGACCCTTGAATTTCCAGTGTGCAGCTTTTGGTCACACAGCCAAACGCAGCAGACTCAGGCCTGGGCGTGTCTTGGTCACACAGCCCAGTGCAGACCGACTCAGGTCTGCGTTGCCTGGGGCTGAGTTCTGGGCCTCAGGCTACTTCTGAACAGGGTTACTGCATTCCTGTCGGCCCATTTCCGAGCTCCACCGCAGAAATATTTAAGACTTTAACCCTCGTTCATAAGGAGCGACAATATCAGGAGCAGTTTCAAGTAGTTCTCGTTTACTAAACCATCTGTCCTCAGATGGTGCCTGAGACTTAAAACGTACCTTGAACTGCTTCTGGGGTCATCCACGTCCTCCCGTAGAGAAATAACCATGTTCTATGATTCTTTCTACCTTGTATCTGCCTTCCATAGATGGCGGAATCATAGATGGTCTGTGTGGAAATTCATTCCCTTCTACATAGGGCAACAATTTGGACGCGTGAAAGACAGGATATGTTTTGAGATGAGGGGGTATATCAATACGATAAGACGGTCCCTTTGCATCCCCAATTACTTTGAGAACTTCCCAGGGTCCAAAATAGACAGGCAGAAGTTTCTGAGACACATCTTCTTCTAAGGAAAACTCTTCCGACTTTACCCAGATGAAATCACCTTCCTTAAAGGTGGATGGTCGATGATGTTTATTTGCTTGTTCGATCATCTGGTCCTGAGCTTTCTTTAAATTATCTTTTACCTTCTTTATGTCTTCTTGAAACAAAACTGCATACTCTCGTGTCCCTGGAGGTAACCTAAGGAACTAGTCCCGCGTTAGCACATCAATGGGACGCCCAGGTCTCCACCCCTTGTGCAGTGCATTTCGTGCACAACCCGTAGTGGTGTGAACACTGTTGTTATATGCACTGGCTATTTTGGGTAAGTTCTCATCCCAATCAATCTGATCGGGTCTCACATACATGCGCAAGAGTTGCTGGCACAATCAGTTCATCTACTCACTTTGTCCATTCGTTTCAGGGTGTCGCCCTGACGACATGGTAAGACGTGTACCGTATGCTTCCATCAGCTTTTGCCATGGCATACTTGTGAACCTTGCATCACGATCAGACACAATGGAGATAGGGAATCCATATTCAGTCACCCATCGCATCTGAAACTTTTGGATCACAAGTTCTGTTCGCGCCTCTGCGGGTAAATGAATAAACATGGCATATTTAGAGAAACGGTCCACAATAACAATCACTTGACTGTTGCCGTTGCGGCTCTTCGTGAGGCTCATGAAGTCCATCGAGATAGACTCAGCTGGTTCACTTGGAATCGGTAATGGTTTCAGAAGACCAAGTGGATTCTCATGTGAGGGTTTGTTTCTCTGACATACCAAACATGTACGAACATAGGTTAGTACATCCTCCTTCAATCCCTTCCACTCGAAGCGTTC